GGGGGGGGGGGGGGGCGTGTGTGTGCTTACAAGTCGCCGGGCACGTGTGTGAGTTTGAGTGCCTCGATAGCTTCCCTCACGGCGGCTGACGTCAGCTCCATGGCCGTCACCACACGATGCACCGGACGGCGGACAAACGGATGGCACCGCCTTGATGCAGCAAGGGGGCCGTCGGCAGAGAGGGCCGCACTGGACCAGTCATAGAAGACTTTGGGTGCGACTCGCCGTCTGTCCTCCTCTCTGCGAATGAGCCACGACAAAAGAGGCCCCGTCACCCAACCAGACATCACGCGAGTTGCAACAATATGAGAGGCCACACGCGGGCAGATGGAACAGTGAATGATAGTTCTGTGCTCGTCCATATTGCCCACCGAGAGCCTTATTGTAGTCGGTGAGTGCCGTGTATCTGTAGCCCACTTGCAGCAGACCATACCGACATATCTGCGCCGCCAGGATGATGTAGTGCACCAAGTTGGCAATTATGACCACGAGCACAAGGCCGATCGTCAGCTCCCGAGAAATCCTCTCGAATAGCATAACAACAAAGCGCATGATGAACAGCGACATGAGCCACACCATCAATCCACGCATCTCCGTCACATTGAGGATGTCCATGCTGCCTCGATCGAACGGCCACACGGTGAGTTGCAGCGCCAGACACACAGCGGCGACGACCGTCCAGCCAAGCAGCTGTCCGCGGGGCTGCCCAGTTGCCAGTTGTGCGATCACCAGAACCAATACACGCCTCATGGCAAGGACAGCGTCCCAACAGTAGAAGTTCTTGCGATAGCCCATATAGAGGAAGCCCACTCGCCTTCGAGTGTGATAGTCCTGCAGGCCCTCTCTATGCCGCCACAGAAACGCCACGCCACATACCACAGGCGCGAATGTCCACAGCAATAGACCAGCCACGGCAATCCACAGGAACGGGACGTGTTCGGCCGATCGGCAGACGACATGAGAATCGAGGTCCATTCGGGGCCGCATGTCATCCATCGGGTCAGTGGGCAGCAGACTGACACTCTCTTCTCAGGCGATAGGTATGACATCGTCCACATAGGGATACCATCGACAGCGCAGGAGGGCCAGCATGCTCTTGGTCACGGTGGGATGGATGAACGTGAGGATTACGACCATCATGGTGCCCCGGCTGTCGAGCCACTGCCGCCGTCGGCCGCTCTTGCGGGGCTTCGCCAAAGAAGGCTGGCAGGAGGGTGGTGTCACGGGCTCGGTTCGTGAGGCCTCCTGGAATGTGACCGATCGCTGGTGAGGGCCGTGTGCGGCGGCTGTGTCTGCTTTGCCAGTGGTTACGGATGGAGGCTTTGAGCTCGACTCGTCGGTGCCAATGCGCCAGCTTGACTTGCAGGCATCACGCACTCGATCAAACCCGCTCGCTGCAGCCATGACACGAGCCAGAAATGACCACAAATCATCGGCCTCTAGAATGTCTGTGTGGTTACCAATGAGGGGCACAATGGTGAGCCAGACAAGTGGTAGCGCCAGCCAGATAGCATGCCGATACAACACGCATTTGTCGCCCAAGGAATCCCTCAGCAGACACTCCCACACCTGATACGACTCAGGCACGCCGCCACTCCATCCGAAGAAGGGACCGACAAGTGAGGATATCTGGTCGCCCCCTAGGGACTCGTCGAACACGAGAAAGGCAGACCACACACCTGCACTCACACCGACAGCAGAAAAGTAACAGAAGGAACGCGAGTCCGTAGTCTGTGTCTGTCTTCGCTTACAGCGGTAATATGTGAGAGTCCAATTTTGATCAGCTGAGAGGGGACCTCAGCGCGGGAGGATGCCGCCGCTCTGTACTCAGACACACACCCAGACAGCACGGGGGTCGATCGATTAGCGGGCCTCCGTGATAGGTACATGGCTGCGTGCTGACCTTTCCGCGAGCGCGGTGAGTAAGAAGATGGCCATCAGAATGGCGACCACAAGCAACACGTTGACTATCACAATCTGCCACAGTCGGGCACATGGGGTGCACGGCTGCAGGGGCGTCTGACGCGAGAAAGCCGCCTTGCACCGGTTGCATGCAAAACCCTCATGCCCTTCCTGAAACGCAGACAAGGCAAGAATATAAAAATGGCGGCTCTCACAATGATGCAATTGGCTCTTACCGAGCATATATTGAGTCCATTCGTCTTGTTGGTGCCTATGCAGGCCGACCGCAATGGACACGGTACCACTATCGGCAACAGAGTCAATCTAGCGCCATATCTAAGAGACACCAAAATCCCACTCACTTGCCTGCTCAGCACTAGCCTTTCTTGCCTTTCATTCTTACGTTGTCACTTCTCGTGCGGCGTTGTGAGATGAATTCTCAGATTGCAGCTGGACAGTAAGTTGGAAGAAGCCCGGCAGCACATTCGCATTGTAGTTGACGGGAATGGAGCAGTTCAATCCCGGCAAACAGTCTTGGCAGATCCACGTGGCGCGGCTGCCGTTGTTACCGCGCTTCTGCACGCCAACAGACCCTTCTGTACACGGCTCGCACGGCTCCTCGCCCCTCTCGTATCCAAGACGACAGTAACATGCAGCTGACCCCTCGGCAGAACCTGGACAATTAAATCCAATCGTGTATATAGTCGGAAGCGGTCAAATGCTGCTGACCTGCATCATCGGGGTATTGTTTGCAGGTTCGTGTGCCGTAATCTCTGTTGGAGTATGTGTTCCGTGGGCACTTGGTACAGTTGGCCCCCGTGCCCTCGTAGCCGGGCAGACAGCGGCACAGCGCATCCGAGTTGATGGTGTAGTCGACCTGTGCGCACACCGAGCACAATGACTGTACGCGAGCTTGTTTTGCTGGCTGGCTGATCACTGACCTCGATTTTGTTGAATGTGGAGCAGAACTCGGTGCACTCGAAACGCTCCTCGCCGTTGTCCAACGTACGCACCGAATATCCTGCATCAAGCATGCATAGGCGTTATCACGATGGCAGTGGACGTCTGCGTGTGCTGTGCTGTGTTACCCACCCTGCGGGTCGGGCACCAGTGGTCTCGGTATGCTCATCTCGTTGAAGTTCTGACGCAAATCCTGACACTTCTGAGAGACATACAAACACACACACAGAGGATGATACACCGCCATCGCCTGCAGCGCATACAACCCGCCATTTTCTTACCTCAATCGGTATGGGGTGGACCGAGTCGTGCCTCAAGTCTGGGTTCTCCGTGAACCTTGCATGCAGGACGTCGAAGAAACTCCAGTCGCCGCTCGCCACGCTCACAAGCGAGTTGTTGGAAAAGTCGATGTGGTAGAGTTCCAGCTGCACGCCGCCCGTGTCGATGGCCGTGATGCGATTGTCCCTCAGATACAAAAAAAAGAGGTTAGGAAACGACCAGATTGAAGCTGTCACCTGCACACACCACACACGCACACAGGAAAGTCCTCTGCACTTCTCTCTCTCTCGCTCTCTCTCTCTCTCTCTCTGTGTGTGTGTGTGTGCGCGCGCGCGTGCGCGTGTGTATGCGTGTGGTTACCGGTATGCCTTGGTCCATCAGGCCCGCAACCTTCGCAACCTCGAATGTCGTGAAAGCCTCGCAATTCATGGGGCCGTAAAGACTGCAGTTCGATGCACCCAGCACCGTCAAACTGACGCACACGAGGAGATCAGACAGATGCATTCCAGCGACCACAGATGCCATGTCTGTGTATTAATGCGTCTGTGTATTGTTTTACCTTCTCTGCCATTTGAGGGGCATCAGGAATGCGGTCACGTCTGTGTTGATGGGATTGTTGGAGACGTCGAAGTAGGTCAGGCTGCCCCAGTCCGGCGGGGGATCATGATCTTTCACAATATCCAAGCCTACCGCATCGTCACAGAGAGAACACGACCGCCTGCTCGCCTGTATATTCCAAGAACTTACTGAGAAAATCCCCCATGCATAATCCTGGTGGTGTCGACCCCCATGTGGGCCACTGGCTGATGCGATTGTTGGCGAGATTCAGCGACAGTAGGTTCGGCATGGAGCGGAAGCCCTCCGGCAGGGCAGTCAGCAGGTTGTCCGCCAAACTCAAGTACCACAACCTGACAGGCAAACACCTGTCGCTATATCCTCATCTCTCTGTATGTCGCTTACGATTTGGGCATGGATCCGTTGCCGATGAATCCCGGGATGCGGTTGTTACTAAAGTCGGCCTGACGGAGGTTGGGGAACAACGTCAGGTTGATGGACGTGTTGAGACGATTGGAGTCGAGGTCCAGATAACGAACGTTCGGGTACGCCGGGCCACCAGAGGGGCGGTCCAGCATGGCAGTCAGCCTGACGACCGATGAAGCATACATGAAAAGCGTTTGCGTGTGTGTTGCGTGCGCACCGATGTTGGCGGCTACGATGGTGGTGAGATTCGAGAAACTGTGGGAACCGAGGGGCAGATAACCCTCAAACTGACATGACACAGAAGCACAGCACATACGCGTACACTC